AAAAATATTTAAAGAAAAATTCCATTTTTTAGAAAATTTCATTTTATAGAAGGGACCCAGGGGGACAAAGAGGGACAGAAAAGCTCTTTGCCTTTTTCAAACGTTGAAGAGAAGAATCGCGGCCAAACACAGACAATGAGGATCTTTATCTGCCCCCCCAAGACATAAAAAGTTTTTATATAAAACAATCCCCTACCCTCCATAAATACAAAAATGAAGAAAAGGCATTTGCGAGCGGAGGGTTGTTTCACGGAGGGATTTTGTCCTGAATTCCTGACACAAAAGTGATTTTGGCAAAATGCAAACAGTAAATTCCCACCCCCACGGGAGTGGCACTGGTGACGGTCCCCCCTCCCGAGGGTCCCCAGGGGTACATCCTCCTCCAGGGTCCCCCCCAGAGGTGACAGAACCACAGAGTCTTGGTCTCTGTCCCTGCCTTTCAAAAAAAAAAATCTCGAATCCAAGATGAAAAATCCCACTCATCCACAAAGGAACAGGATTTCAGGACAAAAACAGAGGCACTGATTCCATTTTTTTTGCTATTTTCCTTTATTGGTGTTAATTTAGGCCGTTCCCCGGAGGCAGGCGGGGTGAGAAATTATTTTGTTTTCCTCTCCAGGGCCAGGCTATCGTGCAGCTTGGAAACCTCGGGCTCGTAGGCCTCCATGACTAACGTCCCATTGTTATCGAAGAATTTGGCGATGGATTTGGTGAACTCGGCTTCCCTCTGCTGTTTGGTTTTGCCGCTGATGAAAGTGAGCTTCAGGGTGTACTTGTCGTCGAACCTGCAGGAAAGGGCGGAGAGATTTCAGAGATTAATTTAAGTCTGGCTCAGCTCAGACACCAACAAAAACCTGATGAAAAAGTAGGTTTTTTTTTTTTTTTTTTTTTTAAGAGGAGGTCCCCACACACAGCCCCCCACATGGACACTAACAGCTACAATGCACAGGCATTAATTAAAACACAATTAAAATATTTTTATATTCTTTGTGATTTTTTTTTCTCCTCCATTTAAAGAGAAGCGTAACGTGAACATCTGCGGCAGATAACCGCTCGCCACTGCTCCCGTTTCCAAATGGGGACGGCAATTTTGACACAGCGAAACCAGATTTGTTATTTGTAAAAATAAAGAAAAATATTTTGGGGTGGAAACTCTGCACACAAGACCGGCGCGTGCTTGGTGAGCCCATCACAGATCCGAGCAATAATATTCTGCGGCAAATATTAATCAAGAGTTTCCTGGGAAGCCACAAAGCTCATGACACAGGAGCCGATCTTTTGCAGAAAGCTCACGGAGCAGAGACACCAATATTGCAGGGACACAAATATTTAGCCCCATTTTTTTTTTTTAGGAATTATCCAAAAAGCAGCTTTTCTGCCCCGCCACGGAGCTCGCACTCCACGAAAAACGAAGCCGTGCGCGGTCCCAGGCTGCCAGAGCGACAATACCGTTTGAGACTGGAGGAGAGCTGCCAAACGTCGTCGGGGTCCATCCCCGCCGGGTCTTTTCTGTGAGCTACGAGGAAAATACTCTTCTCTTTGTACGAGGTATAGATCGTCAGGATGCCCATCATCACAAAGTATGTGCGGAAAAAGTTAAGGAAATTAAGAAGTTGCAATTAGAAGGAAAAATGAGGCAGAGAAATTGTTTGGATCCCCTCAGACACGTCATTTAACCACCTCTCATGATATTATCATTCCGAATAGGAAGCTCAGCTGATGCCTCGTTAGCAGGAGAAGTTAAATAATTATTGGGACAAATAATTACTGGGACACTTAAATTTTTGCCATGAATCAATGCCTGGAAGCAGTGGGGAAAGCAAAAACTCCCTCTACGCTTTCCTGAAAGGGATTTCTCCAGCCACATAAAACATTTCCTTCATGAAATCATGAAGTGGAAATCACGACAAAATATCATTTTCAATTAAATCACTGAATTTTTGGAGTTGGGAGATAGTGGGAGAACGTGAGACCAAACGAGCTGAAGAGTTAATGGCTGTGTGTTCCTCCTAAGCACAGATCAAGAAAATAATCTTTCGCGTTTTTGGAATTAAAGAATTTTAACCGCTGCGGGATAATGGTGCTGAAAACCAACCAGAAGAACCCGCAACAACGAAACCACTCGCCCACGATCACAAAGCCATTGGCAGGACAGTGACTCCCAGGATGGCAATAAGCTCCCAGGCCACCAGTTCACGCTGCCTTACTGGTACCATCAAAATTACCCTGGAAAGCCGACCTGGTGGCAGCTCCAGGAAAGCCCCGCTCACGTCACACACATTTTTGCTGGAAAACCTCGACGGCGTCTCTCTTGCTAGAGGAGCTGCAGGGAAATCAGTGTCACGCTGACCCTCTGAGCTCAAAAAGAAAAAAAATAAAAATCAAACCCAGTTGTGCTGAAATACTGGAAATTTAACGGTTGGGTTCTAAACAGAGTTGGCACCTGAATATTGAAATCCTGATTTGGATTTAAATGCAGCGGCTGCTCCTCTGCGGCACAGGTGCTGGGCAAGAATTATTTCCATTTTACTCTTCACTCATGGCGCCTGATCCGTCATATGAGGAAAGAGCGGTAACTAGACTATGGGTAGAATAATAATAATAAAAAAAAACAAACCACAAAACAAACCCCCAAAGCTTTCAAAGGCTGAGCTTCAGTTTGAGATCAACACTCCGAAGCGGAGGAGTCTGAGATCTGAGAAATTTGCCCCGGACAGTCGGGAGCCTGGAGCAGATCAGCTGCCCCGGCGGCTGCGGGCTCCTCTGATGCCACTGCGGGGGAAGGCTGGACCACGAAATCACACAAATTTCTGTGCGTTCCACCCAGACAGGCAGGAATTTTGCCATCACATGAAAACTGTTTGATTATCAGCTGATCTCCACACCACAGGCAGTAAAATTCCCACAGGGGAATATAAAGAAGGGTTTTCTTGGGGAAAATAAAACCCTTTTGGGATAAACACGCCATCTGGAAAGGATATGATACAACACAAAAGGCAAGAACGGGTTTGGATTCAGGGAAAGGGTGCAGGTAATCCCAAATCAAAGCTACGATCGCAAAGAAACAAGAGATTGTGCAGATGATGAGGCGGCCGTCGATCAAACGGAAATTTTCGACGTACTTGTACTTCTCCAGGAGAACCTGCGGGAGAAAAATGCAGCGGAGTTTATTTTGTGCTTTTTGTACATATGACAAACTGCTTCTGGAAAGGATTTAGATAAAATAATCTTGATTATAGGGGTAAACTGAGCAGAATTAATGAATAAATTAATCACAGGAATCACAAGAGATGCTACGGAACCAACACAGCTACAGACACTTCACAATCAAACCAAAAAAAATTACAGAATTTTTAAAATAAATGTAGAAACCTGAGAAAACAGGGTGTTTCCTCAGAAATCAGCGGTCGCAGAACGTACCTTTTTGGCAGAATCGTCCAAAGAATTTTTCACAGCTGAACCGTCCCATTTGTCGATTTTTACCGGCTTGTCGTCAATCTTCCACTGCAACGGAAACGAAACAGAATTAAGAGACTTTGGCACATTCGGTTCCTGCCGTGAACGTGTCGGTACACAGCGACATACCCGTTTCTCTGGCAGGTTTAAGCCTTGTCACTGAAAATATTGGGTGAAGTGACTTTTTAATATCAGTTCGATTCTAATTTTGATTCCCTGCTGCCAAGCTGTTACAGACTCTTTGGGGGTTAATGGCAGGAGGAAAAGTTGAAGGCACCCCTAAAAATCCACGTATGAGGGGAGAAGAAATGAAATTACCGTCAGACCATCCTCAGAACAAAACCCAAAGACCCTGCCGCTCAGATTTTCCTCAGAAGCAGGTCTGGGGTTCATTTTCGCCTGAACTATATTATTTTTTGGTGACACTATTCCTTTTAGCCAGAGTCAGACACAAATTATTTTAAGTCGTCAATTATTTCAAACAGTTGAGCGACTGGAGCTGGAATTTGAGCTGCCGTTAGAAGTAATTCTCAAACTTTCCTCACGTTATTTCCTGCTTCCAAAGCTCCCAAGTTGGATTTATTAACTACCTGTCAGAAGAGCTCGCTTCCCTTCTCTTGCAGGAACGAAATCATTTTAAAGCAAGATCTAAAACCTCATTGACTGGCAGGGAAAAGCCCAATTGTGCTCCGCAGGTAAGAACGACGGCGCACAGTAAATGTCATGGGCAGTAGCTGGTTTACGAGTGACAAAATCAACGGCCAGAAGCATTTAAAAGTCACCGACAACCAGGAAAGAGCTCTCACATCAGTGTAAGTTACAAAATATTTTAAGTGGCTCCTTTTTTAGAGCTGGTCAACCCTTCTCCCTGCTGCTTTTTATAAATAATAAAGAACAAAATAAATGTGAAATTTTTAACACCACAAGGCCATTTGAAGACTTTCTTCAGACCACATCTCCCTTTAAGTACGGTTGTGTCTTATTTTTTTTTTCCCCCCAAAGGTCACTAAAGCAATAATTTAGAAGTAGTAAAAAAATATGAAAGTAAAAAATAAAGCAGCAAAAAAAAAAAAAGCAGCAAAAAATATATCCAAGGAAATGTTTTTAATAAGTTTTCCTAAGTGAGAGCAAGAATCCAGAGATATTCGAGAAAATATCACTCAAGTGATATTTTTGTGATGTCTTACGGTGAAAAATATTTAATATTGGAGCCTTTGCTTTTGGCAACAGCATGGTTTAATTGGTATTAACACACAATTTATCAGCACTTAAAGTTTTTTTTTGTTTTTTTGTTTTTTTTTTTTTTTTTTTTTAAATCGATCTTACTCTGTCTGGTTTTAATTCCTAAAACCCGAGAGGATGGAACCAAGGCTTATGCTAAAATTTCATCTTCCAAATAAAACCAACAGCTTTCTATATTTATTTGAAGACAGAAGAGCTGGAAAACACCAATGAGAAAAGCTCAGGAATCGAGAAATAAATGAAAATAAAGCCCCAGGGTTGTTTGATTTTTTGTAAGGGTTTTTTTGTAAGGGTTTTTTTTTTTTTTTTTAATTGTTTGTTGGGGTTTTTTGTTTGTTTGTTTTAAACCCTCAAGATGTTAAAGCTATTTTATAGGCACCCTGGAAACCAGCCCTTGAGGCACAGGACTGCTCACACTTTACTCGCTGAAGGATTTGCACAGAGGGGAATATCCATACGTAAAGCGAGCTGAGGTACTACCATAATGAAATATCTCCAGGAAGCCTGGGACAGAATGAGAACCAAATTCTCTCTTTTTGCTCTCTGTCCTGAACCACCCGACACTGGAATTGACGGATAATGTCAGCGATATTTAACTGATATCAATCTCTAACAGAGAACCAGCACTTTCAGGGGTAGATGTAAAGCCCACGTAACTTTTTTTTTTTTTCCAAATAAAGCTGTTGCTGGGGAAAAAAAAAAAAATCTAATTGTAGCCCATCTAAAGCAAGGAGCTGAACCAGCAGTTTTTCAGTTCTTCTTCAGGCTTCTTGTGACTGAGGCTGTTCTGCTTCGAGACAGTAAGAGCTTGATAAACCCAGGGCAGTTTCTCTCAGAAGGGACCTTGTAACGGGAACACAGCCGCAACTTGGGATTTCATCCGGGGACAAGCGTCAGCCCTCCCTTTACCTTGGTCCCGGTGTTCCCCTGAGGTTACTTCTCGCACTGTGGTGCTGCTGTTTCTTGAATTTTTCCAGGACTGAAGAGCGAGGGAGAGGCTGGGATGCTGCGTGAGCACCCGGGGTGCCAACGCTGTGGAAGAGGGAGCAGAAGGTGCTCAAAGGAAATGATCAACACCCATGCTACCCCCGCGTCCAGACCTGCGCAGGGCTGTACCTTCATGTCCGTACATCCACGTAAAAAATGGGAAAAACCTCTGACCGATGGCCATCAAGAAAGACAGAGATTTGGTCCCTGCCGCCAAGTGCTCACCCTCAAACAGGGGGGAAATCCTCCTGCCGTGGCTGCACACGTGGGGAGGGAAGGTAGAAGCTGCGCTGACATGACAACGTCCCGTGGAGCCTGGCAGATGCGAACATATCTGCTCCTCCGGCTGGCAGATGGTATTTTTCAACCAGTTACTCATTTTGAGCACTTCAGTTCCAAGTTCGAAAAGCTTCAATTTGGTCCCAGCCTGATGGAGGGGGAAAAAAAACCCCAAACAACCAATTCAAAACAGGTTTTTTTAGTTTAGGTGTGATCTGATTCCTTCATTTTAAAAACCAAGTGAAAGGTTATAACCTCAGAAGTCTTACTTGTCCTGAACACATCTGAACTATCAACGAGAAGCAAACACGATGTTCTACAGCCAGGCACATCTAAGTGCATTTGGTACCTGAAAGCACACCTGCGTAAGAACAAGGCCTCAGAATGAAGGCTGGAATATAGCCAGTGGTGACCTTCCTTAAAAACAGAAAAAAATCAGAAATGCCATTTCAGAAAGCCACAAAACCAATCTGATGCTAGAAGCACACAAGGGCCCCAGCTGTTCAGACCCAAGTCAAGGCGCTGCCCACAGCTGCATCGCAGCAGGGGAGCGTTCTGCTGTTAGCTCCGAAAAACGCTCAGCAAAACTGTTTGCTTTCACAGCAGAGACCGCAGGATCCGAGTGCTCGCGAGGTTCATTTCTCAAGCTATCACCTTCATTTAAATCGCTTCACAAGACTCCCTCATAAGCAGGAGGCGCGGAAAAAATCCTACGGGGGAATTTCCAAGATGTTCATGTCTTAGAAGACGGATACGGCACAAACTTAACTTTTTCTTCCCCTTGCTTTATTCCTCCTGCTGCCACTGTCAGCCTCATTTACATCACATCCAGTTCTAGCCTGCAACATCTTCTGGGCAGCTAGCTTGTCTCTTTGAATATTTCTCTGAAGTTTACAGCACAAATCATACACTAAAAAAGGATTTGTTGCTACTGCAAGAGGAGCACCAGTTGTAGACTAAACTCTTAGGAAGAAATGTTTTCCTGTGGGGGTGGTGAGGCAGTGGCCCAGGGTGCCCAGAGAAGCTGTGGATGCCCCATCCCTGGAGGGGTTCAAGGCCAGGCTGGATGAGGCCTTGGGCAGCCTGGGCTAGTGGGAGGTGTCCCTGCCCATGGCAGGGGGTGGCACTGGATGGGCTTTAAGGTCCCTTCCAGCCCAAACCATTCTACGATTCAAGGAGAATAATATTTCTGCATCTAATCTGTGTTTTCTATCAAAAGGATGAAAAGAAAGCAACCTCCCCCTTCCCTAAACCCTAAAAATCAAAAACTCTTCAAACTGGGACATGTAACAGCGGAGTGGAGGAAGGCTGGAGGAGCCCCAGCAGACGATGCACATCGCCCCCCTCAAGGCACACAGCTGACACCGCAGCTGGTTGCCTTTTCCTGTAGCTTGGGCTGCAGCCGACAGAGCAGCCAGTCCCAAACCGCAGGTCTCCACCCCCCAAAATAAACTCTAAAATAACGGCAACCTCGCACGCCACAAGCCAGGCAGAAGCAGGGTTTGCAAGCGGCAGAGCCCAGAGACACCCCGCTACGCATCAGTTCCCTCCTCTTCCTCTTGAAGGAAGAGTTGTAACAAACTCCAGCGAGCCAGAGTGGCCGTTCCCAGCTCCAACTAGCTCAGTCTCTGCCTTGGAGGAAGGAATTCTGGACCTTTCTCTCCCCAAAAATACCGCTGCTGCCCGACTGTACTCAGAGTCAACATCCCCCAGTCCCAGAGAGCTCTTTCTGAGGCACAGGAGCGGAAAGCAGTCGTGGCAACTGGTATTCAGGAAGTGGTTTTAGTCCTGGAGCTTGCAAAGCCTTAGAAGGTTTTGCTCTAGCAAGGGCAGAGTGTGGTTAATAACTTTGTTTTGTGCTAAATGGGTGAAATCACCGGGTGCCAGAGGACTGGAGCTGCCGCTGCATGCTGTTTTGAAGCCAGTGAGTCCAGGTTAAGTGGCGAGAGGTCAGGAGGAGCTACCTGATTTTCACAAACACTGAAAGAACATGAGAAGGACACAAAAATGGGATAGTTAACACACAAATCTCCCTAACTCACCCTAATTTAGCTTCACTAGTGAAGTATGAAGAGATAATCTAAACATGTAACCTGTCCTAAGACTTCAAAGCCTCGCTGATAACCTGTTATTTTACTGTTTAAGAAATATTTGAGCAAATTACGGACCTAACATGACAATTCTGCAGACAATACCCTGGCAACATAGACACCGCTTTGTGGAAATGACCAGATTTAAGTCATCCAGGGGGAGGAAATGAAGGCACACAGATCAGCATGGAGGAGAGAGGAAAAAAGATAAAACATCATCAAGGGTGTGTATGTTCTTCAGGTAGAAGCCCTGCTGAAACTATTCAATGTTTCTCACTAAAAGATTCAGCTCCTGCACCAACAGAGTATTTCCCTTACCACCAACTCCTTTTCCTTCTGAAAAACTTCCCCCAGCATCCACAGAACGCAGCTGGAGGAGCAAGAACACCTCGAGAGCATGACACTTTCCAGAGTTCTTGAAGTTTAACCACAAAGCACTGTCATTTCAAAACCGAAAGCTGGCCACACTTGCAGAAAATAACCAAAAATATTTCATTAGCGCACCTTCCTCTAAAAGCAGTCGCTCAACAACTTCAATCTACTGTTCTGAAGAAATGCCATCAAATCTCAGTGACAGTAAAGCCAGCTTCATGTCAAACAGGTGCAAGAAAACCATACTCTTTTGAAATTATGAATATACATATATTAATGAAAATAAAAGTGTCTTCAATTGCAGTCATCTGTATTTTGAAGTTCATGCCAAATACTGAATGCACCCTTTCGGAACCACAGACACAATCGTTTCCACCTTCTTGTGGAAAAAATAATGCCTCTGGGTCTTTAGTTTCAGCTACCAGACTGCCAAAGATCAGGAAGGGATGTGACACAAACACCTGGCCACTTAAAACCGAGCCAAGGTGAAACCCACTCTACAAACAAGTTCCTTTAAAATACCGAGACTGGGCTTATCACCAGACTTTTCCAGCCTGCTCTGCTCCACCTGAGACCGCTGCCATCCCCAGCATTACTCTCCTGTCAGAAGCCCTACTGTGAGGAGAGCAGCTACAGCCGGGTTTCTGTCAGGATGGCTGGGCTAAAACCAGCCACACTGGCAAAAAATATAAAAATAAAAATAAAAGAAGCAGAAGCCGGCCCTGCTCGCCTGCACAGCCTGCCCACAGGACGCTTCCTTCCTCCCCCGGAGCTGCTTCTGCCGCTTCCCGCCCGGTTTCTCCTGTGGCGGCCGCGCTGAGGAATCCCCACAGCCCCGCGCCTGAGGGGA